AATAAGCAAGTTAGTTCTATATACAAAATATTACAAAAAACTCATCTAAGGTTACATTCAGCAATATTTCTTAAGCTCTAATACATTATAGTACTACTAGCTAACGTGTACACTTTCACTCACTTATAACACTAACTCAATCGGCTTCATTCTCTGAAGTCTTCTTATCTGGTTGGCGTTGTCTAGGAGTTTAATTTTAAAAGAGGCAGACCTGGATGACAAAGACCTCAGAATAATTTCAGAACTCTACTGGAATCAGACCACATACATGACAATTAACGGAGAAGAAACAGATCACATAAAAATACTACGTGGAGTTAGACAGGGATGTATCCTATCGCCGTTTATATTTAATAATGTACTCAGAGAAAAATTTTAACGAGGCTCTTGACGGAATAGACGAAGGCATCCTTCTAAATGGTGAAAGAGTAAACAATGTTACATATGCCGACGACACCATGGTGATGGCAGATAGTTTAGAGGAACTTCAGAGGTTAATGGACAGAATAAACGAGTACAGTCAACAGTACGGACTAAACATTAATACCCACAAAACGAAACAAATGATTATCAGCAAGGAGAAAATAAACTGGGCTCATCTATACATTAATGGGACGAAGATAGAGCGAGTAAAACAGTATTGCTACCTGGGAACTATTATAAACGAACAGTGGAGCAACGTACAGGAAATACAGTGCCGCATAGGAAAGGCAAGACGGTCTTTAACAAAATGAGCGCCATCTTCAAAAGTCACAACATATCCCTAGATACAAAAATGAGACATTTGAGATGCTATGTTTTCTGTGTTGTTGTACGGGGCGGAAGCATGGACGCTTACAGACACCACTATTAAAAAACTTGAAGCATTTAGGTTGTGGCTTTATAGAAGAATGCTGAGAATATCATGGACAGCAAGGATCACGAACAAGGAAGTTCTAGGAAAAATGAAGAAGGAACCAGAGATTGTGTTTACGATCAAACGCATAAAATTGCAATATCTGGAACACGTTATGAGAAATCAGCACCGTTACTCCCTGCTGCAGTCTATATTGCAAGGTAAAGTCAAAGGTAAGCGAGGACCCGGTAGAAGGAGAATATTATGGCTGCGGGATTTAAGAACATGGTTTAAGAAAACCTAAACGGAGTTGTTTCGAGCTGCAGCGAGCAAGGTTATGATTGCCAATATGATTTCCAACATCCGAAACGGATAGGAACCAGAAGAAGAAGAAGGAGTTTAATGGCCTCGAAATTCACGTGGTTGGAGAGCCTTTGTTCATGACTCTCGGCAAACTTACTTATTGTCTGGATAACCGTATCCATCTGGAGGTCTCGATGAAGATCATAGTTTCTGAAGTACCATGGAGCATTAACGATGTTCCTTAATACTTTATTCTGATATCGCTGTATAATTTGGATGTTACTTTCTTTTGTACATTCTCATAGCTGTATCCCATATGTCCATATCGGTTTAAGAACTTGCTTTTACAATAACAATTTGTTATAATTAGACAGAGTGGATTTTTCCCCATCAACTAGTACATCTTTCTGAACTTAATTTCTAATTTCTCTTTTTTTTCTTAATATGTGCTTTCCAACATACCTTGGAATCTATTGTGATACCCAAATATTTTGCCGTATTTGCATAAGGTATTTGGTTTATATTTATACTAACTGGGATATGCTGTTCTCTTTTTTAGTAAAATGGACATGAACAGATTTTGTTTGATTCAATTTGATACGCCATCGCCTGGTCCAGATGTTAATTTGTTCAACAGAGTTCTGTAGCATGGTTGCTGCATCCTTGTGGTTTTGTCCGACTGCTAAAGTGCATGTGTCATCTGCAAATGTCGCAATTGTGTTAGGTTCCAATGATGGAATATCACTGGTATAGAGCATGTATAGCACTGGCCCTAGGTCACTTCATTGTGGAACTCCAGCTTTAACTTCTCTTAATTCTGAATATACTTCCTCGTATTTAACTCGAAAGTATCTATAATTATGATTCTAGTAGTTCAGAATATTGTTTTGGTAAGTAGCATCTCATTTTATGATATAATCCGTCATGCCACACTTTGTCAAAACTTTTTCTACTATATCTGTTATTCTATGCACCTGATCTATCGTTGAGTGGCTTGCTCTAAACCCAAAGTGATGATAAGGAATTAGATTTCTTTCCTCTATAATCGGTTTTAGTATCTTCAAGAGTAATTTTTCGTATAATTTAGACATGGCAGGTAACAGTGAAATAGGCCTATATGAAGAAGCTTCTTGTGGAGGTTTTCCTGGTTTTAGTGTCATTATAATTTCTGCCAACTTCCATATCTTTGGTATAATCCATTCGCTTAGCTCGGGCATATTCTGACAGATTCATTGTCGGAAACCTACAACACAACAATTCCTACTTCTTAGTATTAATAGCTCAAGTATACTAATATGGCAGACTTGTTTCTTTGAAAAAAGAAGAATTATTCTAAATAGTGGAAGTGCATACTAAACCCATCAAATTTTAGGTAGTATATATTTAAAAAATATATTTTATTTATTATAATTTAACATAACTATTTATTATATGATGCAGATAAATAAATGTTGTCGGTTTGTCGGTAATTCGCAAAGTTCTATTTTATTTACTATTTTGTTTACAATTAATATTGGCTATGAGTACGTGTACTTGGTTGTATAGTAATTTCCAGCCACTTTTAGTCTGTCAAAAAGTAACTAACTTCGCAAAAAAATAATTACTAAATTCACTAAACAGTTCGGACTGGGAATAACGAACCGAGTATACGTACCTGATCCTAAAGGAAGCGTTTGTAAGATGTGTTAATTTTATTACAGTTTTCCTTGGAAGTTGTTTTAACACTTCCCAGTAATTAGATCAAATCCAGGAGCTATCTTTGGATTTATATTTTCTTTTATTTCCCTTGATCAGGGAGCTCCCAGTTAATTATTTCTTGTTCTTCATTTGGTTGAAAAGTATTTTCTAGGTGGTCAGCAAACCTGTTGGCCTTTTGTATATTGCTTTTTGCCCAGCTACCATTAGTATTTCTAATTGGTGGATACTGTAAGATGGGCCTTTTTAATCGTTTGGTAGCCTTCCACAATGCAGGACTGTGTCAGCTGCCGCTCTGTGGGTTATCACCGGTTGTGTTCCTTTACATGTGCTGGCAGGTGAAAGGGTCAGGATTCACAGTCGTAGGGGGCGGAACATGGGAGAGCGAGAAATGAATGAATTAGGACTGGCTGAGAGATTAGCTTCAATCGGTCAGTGGCAACAAGCATGGGAGGCAACACGTGATGTGGCGGAGTGGACGAAGTCACTAAACCCAAACCTTCGAGGCATAGGCAGCTGGATTATTATCTAACACAAATGCTCACAGGCCATGGCTGCTTCCGCAGCTCCCTTTTCAGGTGTAGGAGGGCTTAGTTCGATCAGTGCCTTTACTATGGTTTCTCGGATACTGTGACACACGATGTTGGGCGGATGCAGGAGAGAAGTTTGTAAGAGAATGTAACTGCAAAATGTTTGATTCCGTGAGAGAAATGGTGGAGAAAATGATGAGGGAGGATTGGTGCTGCTACAAATTTATCATGGAGCTGCTCTCTTCAAAAGAACGAGGGAACTCGCAACAGAATTCTAAAACAAGCGAGTAGCACCTTCGTGGGATTCTGACGGTCGCAGGCTGAAATAAGAGTGAATGAGAGATAGACGAAGAGAGAGATATGGCAGCCTCGCTAAGGCAGGGGGTTGAAAGTCTTTGGTGGTTCGTGTGGGTGTAGTTTCCTCGATGAATGTGTCGGAGAAAGAATGGGAATCGGATGATAGCAAGGCATCAGGAGAGATGTTTGCCTTAACCGGCCCTTCCATCCTGATGTCTGGTATGACAGCGGAGAGGTTTTTAGATAGACGCCGACCGTCTCAGAGTGGTGACGGGACGAAGTGTCAAAGGTTTAAATCCCTTGGGCATCTCGCCCTGGTACAGCTTCGCTAGAGTATTAGGAACCCAACACTACCTTTGTGAGTCACACCTGTTTGTATGCAGATTTTCCTTCTTCTCTTTAAATATGTAAAAAAAGCCTTCTACAATGAGTAATCAGTAGCTCTATCATTTCATAGTTCACTTAGGTAGAAGCTAACCCATTCCTTTTTAATTTTTTTGAATTTCTCTTTTTAATTTTTGTGTGGCATTATTTAATCTAGTTTGATCAACTGGTGCTCTAGACTGATGCCACTTGCGTCTCAGTTTTCTTTTTTCGGTTATCTCATTTCTCTGATTTCTTTCGTGTAGTTATTTCCTTTTAAAATCTTTCGACACTGTTCGTGCTGTTGTTCCAAGCAGCTTGTTGTACATTTTTATTGAGTAATTCTACTTCTGCGTCTAGTTGATCAACGGTTCTTAATGGAACTGAGAGGTTAATCTTCTCTTCAAGGTTTATCTGAAAACTTTTCCAGTCCAGTTCAGGTTGAAATGTCAGTAGTTCAGATTTCTTAGTTCAGCTGGCGTTAGGATGTTAAATCTAAACTAACATAAAGCTTTAAATTATTTTGTATTAAATTGTACCTTAAAAATATTAATAAAATTTATTAATAATTATATTAATATGTAATTAATACAGTATTATTAATTAAACATATCTTTTCAAGAACAAAATATGATTGAAATGTCAAATGGTGGTAGTTCAGATTTCTTTTCTAGGTGGCGTTGTTACTGGACAAACGGTGTGACTTGTTACCATAGCCTTTTATTTGCATAGATATGAATGTAGTGATTTTGGCTTCTTCATAATACATTATGAACCTACTCAAGATGTATAGAAATACACTTAATATTTCTTTCCTAGGTGGCGTTGTTAGTTTACTGGACAAACGGTGTGACTTGTCACCATAGCCTTTTATTTGCATAGATATGAATGTAGTGATTTTGGCTTCTTCATAATACATTATGAACCCACTTAGGATGTATTGAAATACACTTAATATATCTGTTTTCTTTTTTCAGGACGAATTTTCCACACCAAGACGTCACTAATGATATATGGTGGTACTATATGATCTCTATGTCATTCTATTGGTCGCTATCAGTGAGTCAATTTTTTGACGTTAGACGCAAAGACTTCTGGCAGATGTTCATTCATCACATTGCTACTATAGTACTAATGTGTTTATCATGGATAGTCAACGTATTTCGAATTGGTTCGCTGGTTTTAGTTGTACACGATTGTGCTGACATATTTTTAGAAGTAAGTTTAGATGTAGTTTTTATAATTATGATGCAGACAAATGTTAGATAGTAAGTAATATGTTTATTTATACGACAAGTATTAAAATCTTTAAGTCTAAGATTCAGATTCAGACTTATTTTAAAACGCATATTTTTTTGTATAAATCGCTCCCAAATATCTTGACAAATGATAATTTCACTATGCATGAGTTGTAAAATGTGAGATTAACTTTTTATTAAACAAAATATGAAAAAAATTCGATATGTTTCCTCCTTTTCTCGCATTTATCTCACGCATTGATTGGTATAATACTGTTCTCTTGACACTGTCATATGCGGCCTTGAAGTCGACGAATAGGTGATGGGTTTCAATGTTAAATTCTACTGTTTTTTTGAGGATCTGTCTTATTGAACGAATCTGGCCAATTGTTGTTTTTCTGGAGTAAATCTGGCCTGGTATTCTCCAACTATACCAACTGTGTAAACTGTATGCCTTTGGTAGAGAATATTTGCTAGTATTTTGTAAGCAGTTGTTAACAGAGTTATACCTCTGTAGTTGTCAGCCTTTTTTATGTAACGGGCATGTCACGCCTTGAGACCATTCACGGGGCATGGCCTCATTTTTCCAGACAAGAAGTAAAAGTTTATGCAGTGCTTGTAGCAGGACGTTGCCACCATTCTTGTGGAACTCACTACAAATGTGATCAGTTTCTGGTGCTTTATTATTTTTAAGGTTTTTAATGGATTGGGTAACCTCTTCAGTGGTAAGTGGTCTTTCGTTTGTGTTAAATATATATGAAGACCGTTCAATTTTGGGTCGAGTTTTTCACCCATACTAAAATCAAATTTAGGACCTTCATATTCCGAGAAAGAAAACTTTTATTATGTTAAATCATCACACACAATTGCATTAAAATCGATTAATAGTGTTTGCAAAATAATTTTGCAATCTAAATTATAAAAAATGAATAATTCATAATGAAGAGGATTTCAGCTTTCAAACTCATTTCGAAAAATTAAAATCCGTCGATTAGGAATTTTTTAAAAATTGTTTAAATTTTAGGTTTGTAAATTAAACAAATGTTGATTGATTTTAATTAGTATAATAGTAATTGCTATTTTAATGTGAATAAGCCACAATTGAAGTTTAATAGTATATTACATAACGAGAGTTGTAAGAAGCTTATTACATGCGAGTAAAAAAGTTGCGCGCGAGCCGCGTAGCGGCGAGCGCAATAATTTTACAAGCATGTAATAAGCTTACAACTCAAGTTGTGTACTATACTTTTTCTACAATTATTTTCGTTTATAAAAATAAAAATTAAATTACCACTATATTTACACTGACAGATTAATAATTTTTAATCTGTCAAAATAACGTCTGTTAATTCGTTTCCATGGTAACTCGACCAACTGACTTACGAGGCTTATGTGATATTACACATTTTTATAAAACTGAAGCGTAATTTTTTTTATTACGTGCTAGTCATTACGTGTCAGTATCTGTTATGATGCATTTACTTATCATCCAAATAGTAGGTAATATACAATTTACTAGTAAGAGAGTAGAAAAAATAAATTTATTGACGTTTCAATTTCCATTTTAGAAATCGTCCTCAAAATACAAACATTAATATTATAAACAAACTTTGTTTTTTGGTACTTCTTCTAATAATTCTTCTAATAATTTAATTTTATCTGACTAATTTATATTTATAATTAAAACGTATATTATACATTTTAAAGTAAACGACTTTAAAATGATATATAATGACAGTGTTGTTAAAGGGTCTAAACTTTGCTGTTACTCATCCATCTATTCCAAAATTAGACATAATTAGCTCAGTGGAGAAAATATCTCAATATGTACTAACCCACGAAAAAGAAGAATATAGATTATTATGTAAGAATTGGAAAAATCTATTAAAATTAAACAAAACATAAGCAAAGAAGAACTAAAGGTTATATGAACTTTAGAAAATGACGATTCCATAATTATTCTATCATCAAACAAGAGGAATGCAACTGGGATAATGGATAAAATTAGCCTTTATATATGATAGATAAAAAGTCTTTGGAAAACAGAATATATAGAACTTTATTCAAATTTAAAGATTGTTTAACAAATTATCAAAAAAGATTACACTTCATTACAGTGAGACCCCTCATCTTTATGTAGTACCGAAAGTTCATAAAACGAATATACCACTTAGACCTATTTGCAGTACCATACATTCCCATTATAGTGAAAAAAATGTTATTAATTATTATACAACTTGAAATATACAAATATTGAATTTAATTCAAATAATATTTTAATAAATTATAGTTTACTTACAAATGTGCCATTAGATAAAACTTTCAATATAACCAAGACAAAATGAGAGAGTGATGATACTTTGGCAACTAGAACAAGACTAAATATATCAACTATAATGGAGTTATTGACATTATGTACTGGTAATACCTATTTTCTACAAAGGTTCTATTGTAAGTGAAATTATACTAACCAAACTGAGACGTTCTACCTTTCACGTTTCATAGTTCAGTGCGTTTCGCATGGAAGTGGGGACTAAACCAAATTTCGTCTACTGCGCCGTAGTCAGGAGTGTTTGCACTGTCTCTAACATGTTTTATTAAAAAATGATTATTCTTTCATGATTTTATAATTATTAATTTGTATATAATTTTATCGTTTTTTTAAACAATAATTAAAAAAATTATTTCATTGTTTTAGGCTGCTAAAATGGCGAAGTATTCAGGATATCAGAAAATTTGTGATATCATTTTTGCTGTGTTCACAGTACTTTGGATAGTAACTAGAATAGGAATATACCCTTTTTGGATAATCAGAAAGTAAGTGATGTATTCTATATGCTTGTATTTTTAGGAGCCATTAAGGGACACTTTTAACTATTGGGAATTGCACAAGATGAACTTCTCAAATTAAAAAAATATATTAGCTTTGATATGATTTTAATGGTTTATTGCATAGTACACGCTACAAGTGTTATACACTGCAGCCAAAATAAAGGATATTGTTACTATGACTGGGGATAAAAATCTGTATTTTTTTAACTTTAATCAAACTTTTTATCGTTGGTCTATTGGGCATAAAAGAAATATTGCCTGGCAATAACAATGTTACTGTTATTAAACAGCACGTTAAGTTTTAAATTAGATATACACTCTTTAAATGGCTTCACTGCGCACCGTCGACTTTCCTCGAATCTCCGTTGCCCCGTCAACAATAATTTGTCATTATACAGTGGTTGTTTAAAGCAATAACAGCGTAGATTTTTTATTTATTTTGGACTTCTTTTTTTGGGAACATTTAAAAAGCATCATCTACGATCATCCTGAGGCTAGAGCCAAAATTTGGATGTATTAAAAAATCGAATAGAAGTCTCTAATTATGTTACAGCAGAAACTCTTTCATCTATTTGCAGGTTTTTATGACAGATTGGGATACTGTTTAACCGTAGAAGGTCAAATATTTGAATCATTTCTGTAGGGCCTAAAGAATTATTTCTTATTTTATTATGAATCATTTTTTATTTTCAATAAGAATATATTTTTTGTTTTATCTTTTTAAAGAAATGAACTTGTATTTTTAATCCAACCAAAAAAATTGTTCACTTTATTAAAAACCGATACAAATGCACCGCCTTATAAAGGTCAGTGTATTTTTATCGAGTTTATTTTATAAGAAATGAACCGGGTATACGCAATGAAAACAAAAATCGACGGACGGAGATACAGATCCCATGCGTTATGTGTTACTAAATGATTTTCTATCGTGCTGTCGGAGGGTATTTAAAAATTACAATTACCTCGTACGAGGCAATGTTGTCGATTGTAGCACTTTATATAGTGTGAAATATCTCAACCAAAACTTAACGTGCTGTATTTTATTATCATAATAAGAATATTTGAAGAAAAAGGTCTGAAACAGAAAATCCGTGAAAGGAAATCAATCTCGAATTTATTCGATACACAAGATAATATGTCAAGAACGGACTAAAGTAGGGATACATACTGGTGTATTAACTATTGTTGCCTGGAGGAGATTACCCGAGAACGATAATCTATACAACACACTGAAGATGTGGATATAATATCTAGAAAGAAAACATCAGGCATACTTGCAGATTTACCAACCACGACAAAATTTATGCAGGTCAACAAAAACTAAATGTCAATCTACTTATTGCTACAAAACAGTAGAAAATGATTAACAAAATGTTATTATTAGTAAGTGTAGCTTTAAAGGATGACGGGCCCGGACATACTTAAATCCGAGGTAGAAGAAGCAATAAAACGGATGAAAAGCAGGAAAGCTGTACCAGGAAAGACCTGGATGACAAAGACCTCAGAATAATTTCAGAACTCTACTGGAATCAGACCGCATACATGAAAATTAACTATCACATAAAAATACTACGTGGAGTTAGACAGGGATGTATCCTATCGCCGTTGATATTTAATATGTACTCAGAGAAAATTTTTAACGAGGCTCTTTACGGAATAGACGAAGGCATCCTTCTAAATGGTGAAAGAGTAAACAATTTTAGATATGCCGACGACACCATGGTGATAGCAGATAGTTTAGAGGGACTTCAGAGGCTAATGGACAGAATAAACGAGTACAGTCAACAGTACGGACTAAACATTAATACCCACAAAACGAAACAAATGATTATCAGCAAGGAGAATATAAACGGGGCTCATCTATACATTAATGGGACGCAGATAGAGCGAGTAAAACAGTATTGTTACCTGGGAACTATTATAAATGAACAGTGGAGCAATTTACAGGAAATAAAGTGCCGCATAGGAAAGGCAAGAACCGTCTTTAACAAAATGAGCGCTATCTTCAAAAGTCACAACATATCCCTTGATACAAAAATGAGACATTTGAGATGCTATGTTTTCTCTGTGTTGTTGTACGGGGCGGAGGCATGGACGCTTACAGACGCCACTATTAAAAAACTTGAAGCATTTGAGATGTGGCTTTATAGAAGAATGCTGAGAATATCATGGACAGCAAGGATCACGAACAAGGAAGTTCTAGGAAAAATGAAGAAGGAACCAGAGATTGTGTTTACGATCAAACGCATAAAATTACAATATCTGGGACACGTTATGAGAAATCAGCACCGTTACTCCCTGCTACAGTCTATATTGCAAGGTAAAGTCAAAGGTAAGCGAGGACCCGGTAGAAGGAGAATATCATGGCTCCGGAATTTAAGAAAATGGTTTAAGAAAACCTCAACGGAGCTGTTTCGAGCCGCAGCGATCAAGGTTATGATTGCCAATATGATTTCCAACATCCGAAACGGATAGGAACTAGAAGAAGAAGTAGCTTTAAAACGACCAAGACATGTCTCTATATTTTATCTTGATTTTATCTTACCAATTCATTTTGTTAAACGTTGTATAAATATTCAGGAAATAAGCTTGATTAACATTGTTTACAATTAATTTTTAAGTTTGAAATTAACAGATGGCTCAAATTTCATTGCATTGTGTTGTCTGCTTTCTTTGTACAAACAAACGACTAAATCTTAACATTTTCGGGTGCTAAAACTAAAATTGAACTTTTATCTTTTCATGTTTATCTATATATTATTAACACGGTAACCGCAAAATTGCACTAGGTATATTTGTATTGGTATAATAATAGAGAGTGCTACGTTTCCAAATCTACATTAACCTCAAGTTAGGAAAATTACTTTTTCGTTGGAAAAATTTTTTTATATCTGAATTAAAAGATTATACACAAGAGACATCTTTAAGACCCTACGATGTAAAAGTTTGGAGAGGGGCAGAATGTGGATCGGATCACCTGCTAGTAAAGGCACCCGTGGAAATAAGATATATTAAACAACATAAATCCCAAGAACAGACAAACAAAGAATCCATACGGCTCTATAACATAGACAGCTTAAAAAATGAGTCCACAAGTTTTCTCTATAAACTACGTTTGGCACAAAAATTAGACGAAGAAATAAACGGAACAGCGGAAGAAATGTATGAGACTTTGAAAATCAAAATTCATGAAGCAGCATTAGAAGCTCTAGGTACGAAAGAAAAAGTAAAACGTAGAAATTATTGGTGGACAGAAGGTTTATTAGAACTGGTAGAAGAAAAGAAAAAACTTTATCTCAAATGGTTAGCGACAAAAGATGAGGAAGACCGAAAGAACTATAACAGATACAAATATATAGTAAAAAAGGAAATTAAAAAAACAAAAAACATAACCTGGGACAACAAGTGTGCAGAAATAAGCTCAATAGTAGGAGGATCTAGGTCCAGACAAGCTTGGAAAACTATCAACAGTCTTAGAAAAAATACAAACGAAACAAAAAAAATAAACCCCATAGACATAGAAAGATGGAAAAATTATTACGAAAATCTATTAAATGAACAACGTACACAGTTTCTAGACACACATATAGATATAGTTGAAACGGGGTTAAATGAAGTGGCGATGATTACCGTAGAAGAAATAAAAAACGCATTACAAAAAATGAAAAATAATAAAGCTCCTGGGCCGGGTGATTTACCTATCGAGTTATTCAAACATGCCACTGCAATAACATTAGAATTGCTTTGTAAAATGTTTAACAAGTGCCTATAAGGAGAAAGTATCCCAAGAGATTGTACAGTCTCGTACATAAACTCCATCTACAAAAAGGGAAACAGGAATGACTGCAGTAATTACCGAGGTATCAGCATTACGTCATCCACTGGCAAACTGTATGAAAGAGTTCTGAAAGCCAGAATAGAAAAAGAAGCCACAGAGATCGAAGAACAAAGTGGATTCCGACCAGGAAGATCTTGTGTCGACAATGTATTTACTCTCAAACATCTAATAGAAAAGAGATTAGCAAGAGGACTAGAACTTCATGCCACTTTTATAGATCTCCGTAAAGCGTTTGACTCCGTACCACTGCAGAGACTATGGACAACATTGGAAAACGCAGGTATAAATGCAGTATATATAAATGCCGTGAAAAAGCTATATCAAGATAACCAAGCTTATATTAAGGTTGGAAACCAAATTTCCAAGGGTTTCACCCAAACAAAGGGTGTCAAACAGGGCTCTTGCCTCTCCCCAACCCTATTTAAAATATATCTTGGTAATGCTTTAAAATATTGGATGAGAAAATGCAGCCCAATGGGCATATGGGTAAATGACACTCCTATATACACAATCCTCTTCGCAGACGACCAGGTAGTTCTTGCCGAGGACCTACAAGATATGACGTACATGATAAACAAACTAATAGACGAATTCAAAAAATGGGGATTAGAGGTTAATACCGAAAAGACACAATACATGAATATATGAGGCATCGGTCAAGACATGGAAACAGAAAGCGGATTAATTAAAAACGTTGATCAGTACGAATATCTCGGAGTTACACTAAGCGAAGACGGGAGAGACGACAAAGATATAACAAGAAAAATAGGAAAAGAAAAAACATGATAAAAACACTACATCCGATCCTGTGGAATAAAACTTTAACTAAGAAAACAAAGAAAAATATATATCAGGCTATGATTCAGCCGGTGCTGACGTATGGGTCAGAAGTGTGGGTCTTTAACAAGAATATGTCACAAAAACTCCTCTCAACGGAAATGATGTACTGGAGAAGATGTTCCGGGTTAACTTTGTTTGACCACATAAGAAATGAAAACATAAGAGAGAGAATGAAAGTAAAGAACACAATAATGGATACGATAGCCGAAAAACAATTAAAATGGTATGGACACCTGAGACGGATGAACGAACAAAGGATACCACGAAAGGTTTGGAACTGGAGACCTACACAGAGAAATAAAAGGGGAAGGCCAAGAAAGAAATGGATATCCAATATTCATATAGAAATGGAAAATAGAGGTCTTCAAGAAGGAGACTGGGCCGATAAGAAATTATGGCGATTGGGATGCGAGAAGCGACAAAATTAAAGTTGCAAACACTCGCTATATATATATATATATATATATATATATAAAAAAGATTATATTTATTTAAATGAAATCACTGAATAAAACATTAAAAAATACCAAATTAATTATGATCTAGTTATGATCGTGGTAGAAAGTCTTTGTTGATTATATTGCAAACTAAACTTTTATTTCCAAGAATTCTCTGCTGACTCCATTTCTTCTTACGATTGTAATCTGCCTACCTTTTGCTCGTACTCTCAGTTGCTCTACACACGCCTGCTATCTCCTCTGTTTGTCAATGTCTCTTTCCCACACTATCGCCACAACAGTATCTCCAAAAGCTCCAGGACCAAACTCCTATCTCATAGGAACCCAATTTATTTCTGGTCGAAAGGATTTTCACTTAATCGACTAGTATCAAATATACTACACACCTGTTTGTGTATTATAGGATGTGAGGAAATACCTCAATATCATGAACCCACAAGCTCCTAAATTATACTCTTTCATTAAACTACATAAACCGGATTACCCAATAAGACCTGTAGTTTCTTTTTATACTGCTCCGTCATATAAACTTTCAAAAAAAAACTGTTAGAGATTATTTTAGAACACACTAAATTTTCACCTAAATTTACCATAAAAAATACAATAGAACTAGTTAATAAAATACAACATTTTCAATTACCTAACAACTCCAGATTAATTTCATTTGAGGTAAAAAATCTTTTTCCTAGTATCCCTCCTACAGAAACTTTTATTCTATACTTTGTTTCAAGTTAAGAAAATAACATTACGCTTATGGAGATCAGTGTTGCCAAAACTCTCAGACACTCTCTTTTGCACGGATGTCCAAGATATTCCCTATGCTTAATTTTTGAATTTTCATTTTTAATTAACATTTAACTGTAAAGTCAGTATAACTACTTAATAAAAGCCTTATTATCATTATGTAGTCAGAGAACGACATAAAATAGCTGACATACGCACATCGTATTATTTTAAGTTACAATTAGTAATTTGATATACGCATTCCAAGTGGTCAATATTTTCTACTGATTTCTATGATTCATGGCATATCGTATTCTCACCGAAAAACAAATAAACTGTCGTTACTATAATTAAAATAAGATAAAATAAAATTATCTTTTGTAAATACTATTTATCTAATTAAAATCATTTTCCCTACTTTTCATCTTTTGTTTCGAATGGGCATTTTTGGTCAATTACGTTAAAAAAACATTAATTTAATTCATGTTTATGGAAACGAAAATACAAATTATACAACCCTAAATTGTGCTTGTGCGTGTCGTGGCAACGCCGCGTTTCTATCGTCCATAAGAAATACATGGCCCTATCTCCGCAATGTTATTTTCTAAACGTGGAACGTAGTATAGTAAAAAACCTTTTAGACCAAAATAGTACAAATCCAATAATTGCATCTGAAATTTTACATCTTCTTGAAGTTTGCATAAACCAGGACTACTTTGAATTTAATAATCAAATATATACAAATAACAGTGCAGGACTTATACTGGGCAATCCTCTAAACCCATTGCTATCAGATATTTTTATGGATCATCTAGAGACAAAGATTTCAAAACATCCCGTATTTAAACAGTTTTATATTGGTGGAGATACCTAGACGACGTACTAATATGTTTCACAGGAACTAACAGGCAACTCGGCCAATTTTTATATATTAATTCACTTCATAGTCATATTGAATTTACAATAGAAATAGAACAAAATCAATCTATAATTTTTTTAGTTTTGAAAAATCAGATTTAAAAACAAATATGACTTCTCCATATTTCACAAACCTACCCATACTGACACGACTATACACAATTCATCATCCCATCGAACACAACATAAACTGGCAGCATATCATAGTATGTTACATAGATTACCAGAAATTCCGATGTCAAAATACAACTTTGAGATAGAATTAAATATAATTAAGCAAATAGCAGTAAACAACGGATACAATGAACAAACAATTAATAAAATATTAAATCAAAAACTACACAAGAAAGCCCTGAAATTAGTATTTCCACCACCAGAGAAAAAACCAGTACCTTCTGTTCGATTACATATACAGGCAAAATTACAACAAAAATAGCCAAACACATAAAAAAGAAAGGAATAACACCAGCTTTCCGAACAAATAACAACCTAGGCAAATATATCAAAAACAACAAGAGCCAAAATAAAAAACACTTACACAATGGTGTGTACAAACTTTAATGTGGCGACTGCCCAAAAACTTACATGGGTCAAACTGGTAGAAACTTTAACAAACGAATAGCAGAACATAAAAGGGCTTTTAATAATAGAAAAACAGATTCTACATACGCACTTCACCTTTTAGATCACAATCATTCTTTTAACGACGAATTTAAAATTCTTCACAACCAAAATAAAGGCCTTACGCTATCCTTGTTAGCATCTATGGAAATCAACAAATTAAAAAACACAGATATAATTCTGAATGATCAACTTGAGACAAACAATTCTCCCCTCCTTAACCTATTTCATTAGAGACTATAAAGTGTAAACGCATGCCAAAAATAGATCACTTGAGAAAGGCAATCAGCCGAAACAGCTGAAGTGATAAGAGTTAAAATAAATTTTTGTGGAAGTTTGAAAACAAAGTGTTCAGTGTTTTATTGTTACATTATAGGATGTACTTTCGTTGTCTACTGCTACCAATCTTTGGGGCATTTTTTGAATATAAAAAACAATAAAAGTTGTACATGTTCCCTGCATTTTAACAAAACTGCCAAGCTATATAGATCTAAAAATATACTAACCTCAGCCGTTTTCTGGCATTTCTCGCCCATTTCTCTTTGTGCGACTCTTTTTCTACACTTTGCAGGCGTTAATACTTCTGGCTTTGTCTCCATTTATTACTAAATTGCAAAAACTTTAAAGAATAATGTTCCTTTTCTCAGCTTTGACACTAGTTTGACCGCCATCTTAAAAATCATCGACCACGTGATGCAATCTAGCGCTCTGATTGGTGCAAAGGGATATTGGTTGTTTTGAAACCTACACGACATTGTAGAATGGTTGTTTTGAAACACCAACCAATCTTCTCCATTTAATTTCATTGGAAGTTTGGAGTTGTAGTTATTTTACGAAATTTATGCATAGCTGGATGTGTCTTTTTACAAGGAATGCAGTGACGTATTTAAGTCAGATTGTCCAAAAAGTGGAGATTGGTTGTTTTGCAAGTAGAGGTCTCAATTAATAAAACTACTCCACTATTTAAAACAACTGAGCCCACACAGTGTTAATATCAAATGAAAATATACGAGTTTAATATTAAATTTTTTCTGGCGATAATAAAAAAAAAGAAAATGGCCATAACAACAAAATTTATTTTGATTCGTTTAAAATTGATAACAAAGTCGGGGTATCAATATTATTTTAATCATATTAAATTTTTACAAACTCCGACTATTTCTGGCGTAAAATATTACTTTGATCCTTATCAGTTATTGAGCAGTGTAGTATCCAACCGATTAGGATAAACGCCTTGTATTGTTCCTATCGATGAGTATATTGAAATGTTTAATAGAAATATTGGCACTTGCACCATAAGCTTATTTTTAACATTCACATGGCTTCTTCACTTCCTTAACATATCGGTATATCTACAAATGGTGCTATTACATCCATGCCAACATTAGAAAAAAAAGTTATTTTTTTTTTATTTTTGATTTACAGTACGTCCATTGATGCTGCCGACTATGTGCCAATGTTCCCAGCTTATTATATATTTAACAGCCTGCTTCTAGTCTTGTTTGTTTTACACTGTGTATGGACCTATTTTATTTTACGAATCTGCCAAAAATTCGTTTTATCTGGTCACATGGAAGGAGACGTTAGGTCGAGTAGCGATGAAATTTCAGAATAGGTTATTTTTATACTTAAATTATGTACCTAGTAATATTTCACTGTAAGATATCATTGAAAAAAATAACTTTTGTTAATTTCATGTACCATTCAATGATTTTCATTTATACGGAGTTTTTTTATTGAGAAATTCGGCCAGTTTATGGCAGAAATGCGAAAATTTAAAGGAAGATTTTTGTAAGTTTTAAGCAGACCACAAAAAAACTATTTGTACATATTATTTATTGTTTACTATGTAATTACGTTATGAAATATAAGACGTAAATATAAATACATTGATGTTTTCTTTAATGATTAATTAGGCTTGATATATGCATTGATACGGGCATGTTTTTTAAGTAAGTACCGTTTTGCGATTCCGCCGCCGCAGCGCTACGGTCGGCCTTCCGCGCATGAGCGCTGGTTACCTACATCTCTTGTCTACGCACTGACGCCATAACAGTCTGATTCTTCATTATATAGTTGTTTACTCCAGTGTTTAAGATGCCTCCAACAATCGTGAGCCACGCTGATTGTGAAGTACGGGCTGTTATACGATTTCTTAGTGCTAAAGGCGTAAAACCGATTGATATTCATCGTGAGATCCTTGAAGTTTACGGACAAAATATTATGATAGCCCAGTCTGGTTAAAAAAAAAGGTGGAAAAATGTTTCGCAGATATTTGAAGCTTTTAAGACATAGGTGGGGGTTACTAGATTACGAATAGATAAAAAGATACTCCTAGTTTTACGTTGCGTTTTTTTTAAACAACAATTTATGGTCAAAATTTGATTTTTTATCTATAAGTTTTTTCCCTTACAATTTAAATAAACAATATTTATACCATTTTTTTATGTCAAGAATATCTTTATTTTTCCGTTTTTTCAATTAAAATTGATTTATAATTTGCGGAGATATTTGCAAAAAAGCAGTTTTTTTGCACTAATTTATAAATTTAATTAATTTTTTTATTAACAAAATAAAATGTTATTAATACATTTTAACATGGAGGAATTACCGTCCTTTAAATTTGTGCGAAATTTCACCCCGATCGGTCAAATAGTTTAAAAGTTATTCAATTTGTTTATCCCTGGGACTAATTATTTAAACCATTGAGCTTGCCCTATGCATGATGCTAGGCACATTTAGCAAATTTCATAAGATTGTTTAAGACTTAGACTATCTCAGAAGTTAAAGGCATATTGAGTTTTCATCGAAATTATTTACAAAATAAACGTTTGAAAAAGGGGTATGTTTTTTACTTATAAACAATTGTAATAACTTCTATATTTTTTAAGCTACAGACTTGTACGTACAACCATTGGATAGCTGGTAATAAAGCTCACATTAAAAAATAAAAAACCTTCTATGACCAATAGGAACGAAGTTAGCGACTATTTTTAAAAAAATCATATCTCCATTGTTTATAAACATTAAGAAGTAAAATTTGCACAAATTTTGAATGAAAATCTAAACTTTATATTGAAAGTTATAGCTATAAAATGTATCTCTTTTTTTATAAATATTAATAACTACATAGTTTTCACTGGCCGGAAAATATGGGAAAACTCGGAAAAATTGAGTCTATTTGAAATTCACGCTAAATACTTACTTTTTTTAATTTGCTCGAATAGTCTGTCGCAGTATTAATAATGATGACATAATTTTCACCCCCATAAATCTCGGAAAATCCCGGAAAATCAACATATGTTTTTTCATTTTATATCAATGATGCTTACTGCTTTGATAAAATAAGTCGATTTTTTCATCACTTGCCTTATTACATTTTGCAATGTTTATTGAACTTTACTTTTTTTTATTTTCTTTACATACATTGGTTTAAAAGTTTTTTACGTTTTTTAATTTGTAACTTTGTAAGACTTTAAAAGGTTCCATCTTTTGAAAAAAACTCCAAAAAATTTAGTTTACACGTGCTCAATTTGTTTCATTATCACCAGTTATTTTTTATGTTTTCTGGTTTACCAGAAATAAATAATATAATATTAAAAGTAAACAAAAATTATATAATACTTTAAGTTAAAAAATAAGATAAATATTACTGAAAGATTAATGTACAATGTAATCAAAAATTTTAAAGAATTTCCTCGTAAAGAGTACAGAAAGAGTAAAAAAATGATCTGCTCCTTTTGAATGGAAATATGTTTCACTTGTCTAAAATAAATCAAAAAAAGATTTTTTTAATATTAATGAAAGATCACAATATTGCAAGCTTATATACAACGACTATTTTAAAAATATATAAAGTTAAAATAAGCATAACCGTATTGCTAAAATCTGTAAGGACTTTTTATTTTATTAAGTTGAAATTTAATTATGATTATAAACAATAAAGTAAAAGCAATAAAAATAGTTCAAAACAAACGTTTAACTTGCATAACAATAATTTAGCCATTTATAAAACAAAACTTACAAAGGAAAATACTTACTATGATACTACTACTGCTGGAATAAGTTATTGCCACAGTCTGCTGTTTATTTTAAAATAATCTATAATAAATAATATTTTTCACTAATTATACAAGTTGAAAATAATTAATTATTCATTCAATAGTTTTAAATATTACTTACAATTTTCAATCAAAAAGTAATTAAATACGTTTATTTAAAACTTTTTTGTTAAGCAAAAACACACACAAAATAATTTACTCAAAAATTATTGCTAAATAAGTATATTGCTTTCTAAAGCCACCACACTGAGACTGACGAAATTTTGCAGCGATGTGCTAAGACAGTTTCCCCTCCACTTTCCTATGTAGATCTTTCGAAAGTAACTTTATTTCAAAAGGCTTTAAATTTCGAAAAATTGAATGAATTTTATAGCTATAAAATTCAATATTAAGTTTAGATTTTCATTCAATATTTGTGCAAATTTTACTTCTTAATGTTTATAAACAACGGAGATATAATTAACAAAAAAATTGTCGCTAACTTCGTTCCTATTGTTCATATAAGGTTAATTTTTTTTGTTAAATGTGAGTTTTTTTACCAGCTACACAATGGTTGTACGTACAAGTATGTAGCTTGAAAAATAAAGAAGTTATTACAATTGTTTATAAGTAAAAAACATACCCCTTTTTCAAACGTTTATTTTGTAAATAATTTCGATGAAAACTCAATATGCATTTAACTTCTGAAATAGTATAAGTCTTAAAGAATCCTATGAAATTTGTTAAATGTGTCTAGTGTCATTCATAGGGCAAGCTCAATGGTTTAAATAATTAGTCCCAGGGATAAACAAATTGAATAACTTTTAAACTATTTGACCGATCGGGGTGAAATTTCGCACAAATTTAAAGGACGGTAATTCCTCCATGTTAAAATGTATTAATAACATTTTATTTTGTTAATAAAAAAATTAATTAAATTTATAAATTAGTGCAAAAAAACTGCTTTCTGACAAATATCTCCGCAAATTATAAATCAATTTTAATTGAAAAAACGGGAAAATAAAGATATTCTTGATATAAAAAAATGGTATAAATATTGTTTATTTAAATTATAAGGGAAAAAACTTATAGATAAAAAATCAAATTTTGACCATAAATTGTTGTTTAAAAAAAACGCAACGCAAAACTAGGAGTATCTTTTTATCTATTCGTCATCTAGTAACCCCCACCTATGTCTTAAAAGCTTCAAATATCTGCGAAACATTTTGCCGTGAAATCGATGATTTTTGTATAACCAGACTGGGCTATGAGTGATGGAATGGTAAGGAAATCGGTGAGAGCATTTAAAGATGGCCGCACAAATGTGCATGACAGACGCTTTACAATTTCATCATTGTTCGACTGCTTTGGACAAATTGTGTTCACGTTGGGTTCCAAAAATGTTGACGGATTTGCACAAAACCCAACGTTTAGGCAGTGCATTGACTTTCCTTGAGCGGTACCACAGTGAAGGTGAAGATTTTTTTAGACCAAATTGTTACTGGTGACGAAACGTGGGTGGCCTACGCCACACCAGAATCGACACAACAATCCATGGAATCGCGACATTCATCATCACCCAAAAGAGTGAAGTTTAAGCAAACAATTTCTGCCCGGAAAATCATGTGCACAGTTTTTTGGGACAGAAAAGGGTATTACTAGTGGAGTTTCTGCCTCGTAATGAGACAATCAATGCAGCGTCTTATTGTGAGACATTGAAAAATCTGCGTCGTGCAATCCAGAACAAAAGACGTGGCAAGCTGAGTAAGGGCGAGCGCCCACCAAAGTGGCGTGGCAGTGGCAAGTAGCAAGTAGCACGCGTCTAGCATAATGTAACCAATGAAAACGAATGATTTAGTTTACACCAAAATGACAGTAACGTTATTCATTCTAATCATTCGTTAGGATTGGTTACATTATGCTAGACGCGTGCTACTTGCCACTGCCACGCCACTTTGGTGGGCGCTCTCACTTAGGGTATCGTTTTGCTGCATGACAATGCCCGTCCACATGTGGCTAATCAGACTAAAGATCAAATCATTTAAATGGTAAACTCTAGATCATCCTCCATACAGCCCTGATCTGGCGCCCAGCGACTACCATTTGTTCCTGCACTTGAAGAAACACCTGGGCGGCCAGCGTCTTCAAAACGATAACGAAGTCAAAACATTTGTGATGCAGTGGTTAACAAGTCAGGCGGCAAAATTTTATCAGGAGGGTATTCAAAAACTGGTGCCACGTTATGACAAGTGCCTCAATATTTACGGAAATTATGTAGAAAAGTAGATTAAGGTACAGGCTTTCATGTAAAAATAAAATTATGGCCATATCTTTGCACGTCTTTTTTAATTCCAAAACGGTACTTACTTAAAAAACACGCCTTGTATATGCAAGTTATAATACATTTGTAAGGTATAAAAACTGTAGGATAAAACATTCATATACAGGACAAACTCAACAGCTGCTTTATGTAAACATTGTTCTACACTGTCAAACTATTTACATTTCTCCATGTTTCTATTTTGGCTCGTAACAATATTAATTCTCTATACAGGCATGTCTTGCCTAAACGTTTCTCACCAGATATTCTTTGGTCTTTCTATCCAAGTCCTTCCTTCTATACTCTTCTATTTTTCTATCTCTGTCCCATAGTGTCTTGCCATCAATCAAAGTGTTTTCATCTCTGCTCTTTATAACATCCTTTTTGTCCTCTCTGTGTGAGGTCGTGTTTCTGTCGCTTATGTCATTATTGGTAAGCTGGAGTACCCCAGGGCTCAATTATTGCTCCAACATTATACACAGTCTACAATAGTGACATCTCCCGCCAACAGCATGG